GTCAAAGGATTCTGATGGCAGAATCAGATGTCAGAATCATCTTATTAGGACATTGTGCTGGGGATCTGTTTGCTCTGATTCCATCTGCCTCCCACCCAGTGGTCAGGCTCCAGCCTGCATCCACCAGCATCTCTAGACTTGTACTCCAGAAATATCCCTCTTGCCATCTTCAGTCTCTTCTTCCTGGCTTCACTGGTCTCCCTGACTCCCCTCCCTCCTTACTCCCATGCCCTCCACCAGTAAGGGCAGTATCCAAGGCCTCACCTCCCTGTACACCCTCTGTGGGCTACTGCCTCACCCACCTCTCACCTGTCCAGCCCCACTTCCTGCTTCCGCTCATATTCTTGAGGTTGCTGAGGATGTCCTCCTTCTACTCTGCCTGAACATCCTCGAGGCTCAGGACAATGGCCAGATGACCCTTAACCCTCTGCTGGCTGTCCCTCTCTCTCCCAAGCTACCATCAGTGTTTTATTCAAGTAGCCACCACAACCAATGGCCTCCAACAGTGCCAGGGACAAAGAAACTTGCATCATGTTCAATGAGTGATGAGAAAGTGAAAAAGTTATGGAAAGAGTGATATTTGTCTCAATTGCAGTTGTCTGATTCTGAACAACACCTTTCTGTTCTCACTGAACAGAGAGCAGACACTTGCCTCAGAGCACAGGACTTGGCACAGAGACACACAATTTTTTAATACTTTCATATAACTTAGATTAATTGAACTGTAAAAATGAAATGCATTTGGACACTCAGAGAATTCCTACCTAGTAACTGAGCTACCTTATAGTCTCCTGTCCTCCAATGTAAGTGCCATAATTTGTAGCCAGTATCTAATAGGAAGTTATCAATTCCAGAATAAATTTTATCTAAGATATATGATTTCTCCATGGACAATTTTATTTTATGCCTGTTCTATGAAATTTGATTCAGCATTGTAAAATTCACAGATATTTGACTCAGCAACATCATCCTACTAATCAATTTAGTAGGTTTATGGTAATGTGTATTTCACAGGCTGATTCCTGTAGCCTTGCCGGGCTTTCATAACAGCCCCTTTGGCATGGCCTGTCCAGCTCAACTGCAACTTCAGGTGTGTTTTTGAGTGTACGACAGTATGTGCTCTGTGTTGCCTGAATAGTGAGTTTTCTCTGAGGCATTTAGCTTCCTCATCCTATACCATGGATTTTGTGTAGAGATCCCTCTCCAAATGTAGAATTTTGCTGACTGGGAACATGAACACCCATTGTGAATATTAATATGAGACCAAAAATTGGAGGGCAGAAGCCAAAACTTCTTGAAATCACACTCATTGGTGTCCACCCCTGTACAACAGACTGCAAACTCTATACGGACAGCTTTACAGTAAGAACGACAAGGTGTAATTCTAAATATATGGGAATATTTCAATGATTCATCAAGTGCCCACTGAGGAATTAAGCAGAAAAGGGATGAGTTCATAGAAAATGTGGAAGAAAGAGAAATCTACCTCTTAAGATACTTGAGAATTGAGGAAACCAAGCAGCTGAAATGTAAATTGTATATGCAAATCTAATTCTGAAAATTCATAATCCAAACGAATAAAACACCAAGACACAATGAAACTTGTGGTCCAAACTTCTATTATTTTGGTGTTTAACTCACCAGATGGTTGGCCTTTGGGTAGGGCAGTGGGTCAAACTCTCCACAGTGTGTCCTGTCTTTGGGGCACAGGCACAAACACACAACAACTTATACCCACAAAAGCCAACAAACAAGGGCCTACGTGAAGAAGCCTAAAAAACACTAGGGAATCAATATATTGGGTCTTGAACAGAGACTCTCCGTTCTCCCCACCCCACTGGCACTCAGGGGACATCTCACCTTGATCCTCCTGAGAAGGGCAGGAAGGAGTGGCTGTGTCGAGAAGATCCAGGTGCAAATCGAGAAGGATCAAACACCTGCAGAGAGAGCAGCAGGGCCAGGACAAGTTGGGATCAAGTCCCTGCTTTCCAATCATGGTGGGACATGATCCACAGATGTGGGAGCAAGAAGAGGGTTTGGTCATGACAAATCATCCCCTTCCCTCCCCACAAGGCCTCCTACCTCTGGGTTTGGCCACACCTTCGGATTGTGATGAAGGCCATAAATGGAGAGTGTGACCATGAAACCTGTGGGACAGTTAGGAGACAGATGACTAATTACCCTACTGGGCTATAGGTCTGTTCTCTCAAACAGCAGAAAACATGCACACATAAGTTGCATGGGTCCCGAAATCGTCACTTTGAGTAGAATGATTTTACAAAGCATCTGAGTGACAGTAAGGAAAGAAAACTGTGAGCCTAGGAATAAGAACAAGAAAATATTGGAGACTCACTGCTTACACCAAATGAAGTGACAACACACAGCCATCCAATACCTTCCATGAAACTGTGGAGAGTAGACATGCTCTCAACCAACCCTCATGAGTGCCCTTCAGAATACACTGGTCTACACCCATTTTCATATGAGATACTGGAGTCTCAGTGAGGTTATCTTTCTCATATTCACATAGCTGGCATGTGCCAGAGCAATGGTCAGACACAATGGTGGGTGAGCCAATGGGTGGCTTCCTAACAGGGCAGGAATATCAGCTTCTCCCTTCTATGATCCTGACCAATCCTTACATTCCAAGGACCACATTGACTTGTAACATGGGCTTTCATGATCTCTTTCATTTGCCTTGAGGCATTAATATATATATATCTTCTCAACTCTGTATGATTCTTTCTCTACCCTGCTCTTCTCAAGTACTGATAATCACAAGGATAATATCTGGAGGCTGATATTAATCTAGAGGTTGACATTTTTTTCTGATTTCAAGCTCCAAATCCCGCATTTCGTAAGACTCATCAAAATTTCAGAGTAACTATGCTTTCTATAGAGGAGGAAAGGGAGACTGAGAAAAGTTAATAAAAACTAAAAATCAGGTGGATCTCTCATCCATTGTTTCCTTAGAGAGTGAATGGGTAAGTATAGAAAGGTCATACCTTTGGGTAGGGAGCGTCCATCAGGGAAAGTGATAGGTTTACTGAGATCTCTGCTCACACTTGGTACTGGTGGATAGAGTCTCAGGGCCTCCTTGATGCACATGGTGGTGTAGGGCATCTGGTCCATGTGGTCCCTGAGGTGAAGGCCATCCTGAGAGGCAGGCAGGGCCCAGGAAGACCAGCACCTTCTCCCTACCAGAGGCAGGGATCTCCCACCTCTTGAGCTCTCACTCACCAGGTGATGGAGGCTCCGTCCCCCAGGAGGCTCTGGACCTCC